TGTTTCTTCACTGTGTTGGCGTATAGAAGAAACACAGGGATTATTCATTTTTTTTTTTTTTGCGTTTTAATGGAAATTCCCATATGTTCATAGGCTCTGACTTTTAAATGGCGTTTGGTTTTGCCAATATAGGAGGCCTTACAGTCTCCACACGTGTAAAGATAGACAAGCCAAAAACATAAGGAATGGGGAGGAGATCTTTAGTAGGGAAGAAATTTTTTATGCGTGATGTGGATTTAAAAACTAATCTTCAATCTACTTGAGGGTAGTAACGACCAATTATGCGTTTAAGTTGATTTTTTTAATTTAAATTTGTTTGCCAGTATAAGGAAGACACGAGTATATAGTAAGTTTAGGTACAGTTGGTATCTTAATTGAATTTGTGAGTTTCTTTGTTAGGAAGGTGTTGGTAATGTTTTCTAATAAGTGTTGTGGATAGCAGTTACGTTTCAGGATGGCATGTAAGAAAGAAATTTCAGAGTGTAGATTAAGATATGTGGAGCACAGGTTGTAAGCATGTAACAAGGTTTCGTTTATACGTAAACGGGATAAAGCTATCAAAGTGTGTAAGGAGACCAGTGGACGTCTTTTTTTGGTAAATTGATGTGGAAAATCCATTAGCATTACAGTTAATGAGCATGTCTAAAAAAGGTAAATTATTATTAGTTTCAACGTCACATGTAAATTTAATGGCAGGATGTTTTGAGTTAAGGTATTCTAAAAATTTTGAGCATTGATCACTGTTATTAAAAAGAATAAAAGTATCATCCACATACCTTCTGTACAAACAGGTCTAAAGTCAACTGGACAGGTGTCAAGCCATTTCTGTTCGTAATGAGAGAGAAATGCATTGGCTAAAGTTGGACCTAGTGGGGAGCTCATCGCAACGCCATCTATTTGTTCATGCAAGGTGTTGTTGAACAGGAAATGTGAATTTTTAGTGGTAAGATCCAGCATGGTCTTAATTTGATTTTCAGAAAAGCCATTTAGAGGAATGTTATTACGCGAAAGCTCAGATATGCATATGTTAATAGTTTCATTTAAGGGAATATTTGTGAACAGGGAGGTAACATCAAAGCTCGCCATGAAGAGATTATTTGAGGGGGGTAGTTGACTTAGTTCACGTTCAAAGTGGAAGGAATCCGGGATAGTATATTCATTAGTAGTGAGTGGCTGAAGTATAGGTACAAGGAATTTAGCAAGTTTGTAACCAGGTGTGCCTATAGTGGAAAGAATGGGTCGGAGGGGGAACTTGTTTTATGAATTTTTGGAAGGCCGCATAACATACCAGGACGGGAGCCAGTGGGATAAAGCGAAGAAGCAGCATTTTCAGATATAATATTTTTGTTCTTTAGTTCTCTTATGTATCTTTGGATTTTTTCCTCACGTTGGATGCTAACAGATAAAGGGTCATTGTTTAAGGTTCTAAATTTTGTAGAATCGTCCAGAATATCACGCATGTTATTAAGGTAGTCACTTTTGTTCAGAATAACAATGGCATTGCCTTTATCAGGGCGTGTAACATGGATGTTTTTATTTAGTGACAATTCTTTTAAGGCTAAGATTTCGTCAGGGGTTAGAGGGTTAGGTTCTCTCTTACTATTAAAATTATAAAATGTAGATAGAGCAAGATTTTTTAATTTAGTAATAAAAAAGTCATGGATTGATTAAGATTGCCTTTATCGTACATGGGAAGGTCTTTCAGATTTCTGTTTAGCAGTTCGAATGGATAAAGAAAATTGGCATAATTCAGTTTTAGTTTCTGCATACCTTCTACAGGCACACTTCTCTCAAGCTTGAAATCCAGCTTTGCTCCTCCCTCTGTATATATATATATATATTCACAGACATTTATGAATAACTGAGTGTAAAACTAACCATAGAAAATGCCATTAAGAGCCGGCTAATACTAACAGACTTGTTCAAGCTGACTCTAAGGAAGGCTGAAAAGAGACTAACACTTAAGTACGCAAATAACTTAATATAACTAATCTTAAGGAAGACTTATAACTGTTACAGAAACACATGGATAACAGAATGTAAGCTGACCATGTTAAACACGAATCTACACAAAATAAACAAACAACCCTACACACTCGCACAACCATTACGTTTTCCAGATTAATTCACACACGTTTTCTCCTCTCTTCTACCCTCACCTCAACGTAGTAAAGTCCATTATCTCATGAGCTCAAGCGAAGCCAAGCGCTCCAATATACCTTTCATAAGAGCTCAGTAAATAGTGAGAACCTCGTTGTTTTTGCTGGTTATACAGATTACTCAGCAAATAGCAGATAATTTGTTAGCAGAGGTCTCTTTACAACAGCTAATTTGTTTGTTTACGTAACTCTATGCGATGTGTTTCTGTTTCCAGCAAAGTAATGTTTAGCATGGTGAAACTGAAAGGTAAACTTAGCCTGTGTTTGAACCATTTCTTCCTGCCAATGAGCAGATATGTTCTGTGATATTTGTTGTAAACTGGTTTTTCGTGCTGCAGGGAACAACTCGCATGAATTAACTGACGAATGAACCAAGTGTGGAATTGAAGAAAAAAAATGGTACTGTAAAATTTAAATCTTTGTAACTTAAAATCTACCTCTTCAATGAGATTAAACTGATACATTATCCACTTTCCATTTGACTAAGCTCTTTGGAAATTGGCAACTTTTTGCTATGTAGCTAACGCAGCTTTACATGTTTGTCGATCTGAATGTGAATTAAAATATCTATTTCTGTTTGGAAGATTAACAGATACTCTTCGGATATATTTCGTAGCGATGACTGACGCAAGCACAGTATCGATAAAGACTAGTGCTCTCACTGAAAGAAGAAGTCGGTCTGTTTCTATTTCTTCTAGTTATCTGAACACCAGTACAACGCCGCAGGTACAGACAAAAAAAAGATCATCTCCTCTGTCCTTCCAAATGAACGTTATTCCAGGTCCAAGTGAGACAACTCTACGCAGATCTCCTTCGCCACTCCCATACCTCCGAAACTATGTTCAGCTCATCAATCAAGGGGTTGACCAGGAAAAGAATAATTTCATCACTTGCAGACAAAGGTCACCAGATGCCATCGGTCGACGTTCAGAATCTGCTGCAAAGAACGAACCACATAGTCCAAAAGTTAGGCTTCAAACTAACAAGTTCACACCTCGGCATAGCCGATCGTATTCCTTCAGAACCATGCGACGTCCGACTTCACAACAACTGGCAGAAGAGGAACAGTTCCGACCGCGAGGAGCCACAATGCCCTCAGATAGACGGAGCTATCTCCGGGAGAAAAGACGGCAGCGCTTACACGAACGGAGTGCTAGCCCTAACTTGTCACCAATGGAACACGTGGGAGACGTGAATCAAGATTTCTACAGGTTTCGTAATTTCAGCACCACATCAAAGGGTGGTGTCATCAACCGAGGGGACCAGGTTCGCTTACGGTCCCGTAGCAGTAATAGCATGGCCTCCAATCACACCTACCCATCTTGTACTTCCACAGCCACATCCTGTTCGTCAGGACCGGGAGCTCGCTATACCCAACTTAAGGTCTTGGTGCTGGGAGCCATTGGTGTAGGGAAGAGTTCTATTGTCACACAATTCATGTCGTCAGAATACATGAATACGTATGATACATCACAGGGTAAATACAATGTTTTCGGTTTGGTTGATTTTATCTTTAGTTTTTTTAATTTTCAGGTATTTTGTTATCTCTTCTTTTAATTTGGATTTGAAAAATTGCTTTCCGCACATTGGTGCTGTGAGTGTGTTATAAGACTGACTGTCCAATCTCATTATTTGATTATTTGAGAGCTCGAGGTGGGTGCTGCTAATTAGTTGTCTTCACTCTATTCTATCAGATAAAACAATTAGGGATGGCTAACACAGATATTTTTTGTGTGACTGTGCAAATATCCAAAACAACTAACTAATCTTCTAGTAGAATAACTCTACATAACATCAGTCTGTTTTCAGTCATAGGAAGTCAAAATCTTATAAACTTGTAATATTTTTGTGCGTGCTCATAAAATTTCCTCAAAAATTCATTGAATCTACTGAAACAATTCAACGTAGTTATGCTATCTACTTCCACAAGAATAAACTGGTTATTTAGTTGCATCACCTATTTTCATATCAATACTTGTAAGAGCAGTTTTATTTTTTATAGGGCTCGCAAGAACAGAATCTTAATCGGCTACTTCACACAAATACCTAAACATTTCGATTCAAAGCAGCGCCTTGATATGCAGTTTCTATTACGTTCACAAAATGATACTTAAGTTATTTAGAATAAAAAGATCCTATTCGAATTTGCAGTTTTATAATCTCTTTTTACAAGAACACTTAAATAATCAGATATAGTGACTAATTCAACAAGAATAATTGCATGTTCAGTTATATCCCTTTAAGAGGGATATTTCAATAAACAATTACAGAATGTTAAAATATGTAGCTATGTCGTTTACTTTCTCAGAAAAAGATGCAAGATCGGATATATTAGCCACTTTCACAAAAAATGTAGAATATACAACTTTGTTGCTTCCTTTTAAAGGAACAAACGTAAGATCCCTCATACCGTTTACTTTAAAAAAAATACATTTTGGTTGCTTTCTCAGCAAATAATTTCTCAAGAATATTGGAATGTACATCTATGTTCTTGCTTTCGGATGATTAGGTTGAATATCAGTTACATTAGTTATTACAAGCTCAGTTATATTGTTTACTTTCACAAGAACATTGGAATGTACATTTGTGGTACTTTCTTTTTCAGAAGAGATGCAAGATCGCTTATTGTAGCAATTTTCACAGCAATAGTGAAATACACACCTACCTTGCTTACTTTGTTAGGAATAGTTACAAGATCAGTTTAATAATTTTGAGATACGCAAGTCCAAGATCGGTTATAATACCTACTTTCACATGAATATAAGACCACAGTTATTTTCCCTCCTATTTTGAGAACAGATGAAAAATGAGTTGTATTATTTACTTTCACAAGAAAGGTGAAATTTGCACCTATGTTCATTGCTTTATCTGGAACACTTGCAAAATCAGTTAAATATAATTCATATTCACAAGAATATTGAAATACGTAACTATGTTACTTTCCTTTGAATAGATGCAATATCGGCTACATTCGCGTGAATATGGGGATATAACACTATGTTGCCTTCTTAAGCAAGAACAGATGTAATATGTTATATTAGCTACATCTATATAAATATTACAATTTGGTTCCTTTCTCAGCAACTGATACAAGATGTTACACTACATAGTTTATTTCTTACCTTCTCTGAATCAACTGCAAAGTCAGATATGTGATTTATATTCACAAAAATATTCTTTCTTAGGAACAATTTCTACATCGGATATATCAATTATTTTCACAACAACTTTTGAATATGCAGCTACGATGCTTTCTTACTTAGGAACAGATGCAAGATCAGTCATGTTAGCTATTATACAAGAATATTGCATTATGCAGTTATATTGTATCTTTTCTTCATTTGTATTAGACACTTTTGTAATATCAGTTATAGTAAGTAATTTTATAAGAATGTAAGAAAGTTGAAATATGCGGCTATGATACTTACTTTCTGAGATAAAGATGCATGATCAATTACATCATTTATTTTCACAGGAATAATGAAATGTACACCTATGTTTCTTGCCTTCTTTGTAACACATGTAAAATCAGTTATATATTATTTACTAGCCAAAGTACACGGGTTATTATATTGATATTTTACTGGTCGACTGTGTATATGTGTGTGTGTATTCTGAACGTATTTTAGTTATGAGATACAGCTCAAAATCTTTTGAAGTATTTAGTTTTTTTTCCAGAAACCTATAGATATCATTTCATGAATTTAAAAAATAGAATGCAAAATAACATATTCAAATATTGTAAAATAACTTTGTTTTTCGAGAAAAATTAACATTTTTCAACTTTATTGTTTTTTCATGCTCCACAATTCTTTAACTGTTTTGTTTGACGTCATTTCAATACTTTATTTATTTAAACCTTTTTAATATTTTCTGGAGGTCTATTCCATGGGTACTGATGCTTTTGATTCCCTGTGTGTTGCCGTTGACTGGCTAAGAAATATTTGGCCCCATACAAAAAAAAACTAATTTGGTCAGAAAACCTACCCCACTATT